GAAAAATTCACAACATCATTGTCACAACTTAATCAAGATCTTTTTTGCCTGTTAATTCGCGTAATTATAAATAAATAAAATATTCGTCGCAGGTCTTCATTGACGGATACTCATCGAAGAGCAGAACGTGCCTTCATCGAATGCTGTTCCATCTAGTGATAACACATTGACTCTTGGATGTAGAATAAATGAAACTGGTGCTATGGATGAGCTTGCTACCGGGAAATACGACGAACTGGTGATGTGGCTACAGAGTATAGATGAACTACCAGATGCTGATATGCGTCTGGTGTTCATGGGTGGAAACGGTGAGTTAAAGAGCCGGGCCGTCGTCACTGGAAATGGGTATTGTCCATATGTTTATAGTTCCTGTTTTTGGTAAAAAGTATGACTAGATCTTACGTTTGGTGGTGTGGCTGCACTTTACTCAGAATAAAAAAAAATGCAGAGTAAAACAGAAAATAAATCTGCACGAAGGGATGCACATGATCCTCACTATGACAGAAATGTGCCACTATAAAGGAAACGAACATTCTAGAAGCAGAATTATTAGTCCATCTCTGAATATAATAATATCTGTGACTACCTTGTTGAACATTCCTGTGTTATTAATTATGTGTTGCTACACGTAACATTCTCTCGCATTGACTCTTATTTGCACTCCGTGTCACCAGATGGCGACAATTGTACACACCGACCGTGTGTGAACGGGGAATGCCATGATGACGGCTACGAAGCTTATTACTGCGAATGTCCCCCTGGGTTCAACGGCACGTTGTGTGAGATAGGTAAGAACTTATTAGTTTAGACACAGTCCCTCTATCATTAAAATATTTTGATTCAGTTCAAAATTATGTGATATTAATATAAAAGTTATATGTTGAATGACATTTCTGGTTTGCTTTTCACAATAATAGGAAATATATGACAAACACTATTTTAATTTACCACAAAGCCTGTTTTATTTTTTTTAAACATTGAACTTTTAATTTATAAGTGTGTATTATCATGCTTTGGACTGTTTGCTATACCTGTTTCATACGTTTAATGAGATATTCTAAAACCCACAAAGCTGGATTGTGAACACGTAGGATCATTTGGTTCGTATGTACTTCAAATCCAAAATAAATCCAGAATCCGCCAGTTGGAGCACTATTTTAGTGGTTATAGCACATTACAAGCACATTTCGCGATGACGTACCCAGACGGAATAGATCACGTGACACTAATACTACTCGCCAATGCTCTACACTCAATATCATAATGATTATACTTGTCACTACAACTTTGGTTGCTTTCAAGTGCAGTGGCGATGGCACAGGGCGTTGCCCCTCGAAAAAATGTTGGGGCGTCCACCTCCAAAATCAAGCTGAAACCTTTTGTGTCAGCAAAATTTGCCCCACAAAATGCAGGATATAGTTTCAGAGAGTCTAGATTTCAAATTTTTTAGGGGGGCATGCCCCCGTACCCGTCGTAAGGTCGCGCCTTCGGCGCAACATGGTGAGCAGATCTCGCCCCCTAATTTCGTGCCGCCGCCTCTGAAGTAGAGTACTATCAGAGGTACATTACTTGGGGTTTGCAACTACGGTGACATGATACCAAGATCCCGTCACAATCTCGCTCTCGCATAAGCGTTCCAACTCAGAAAAAATGCGAATGCGCATGCCCGAGGTAACTAGGATACTGGGATGTCCAGGTGGATCAAAATAGCTGCCCACGATATGACGGATTACGAGAACTATATTTTCTGTACATTTTCGATGTATTACATTTTTCACTATGATAGTGACAAGAAAAGTTTATTTTTTTCATTACAAACCTTGAACATTGATATGCGTCATGTCAGAAGGTCGTAGCCTCAGTCTCGCTATCTACGAGAAGAGACTTGAATGGAATCTTGACATGATGTCACCATACAGTACTATGCGAGTTGCAAACCCCAAGTAATGTACCCTTGGTACTATTCATATAATATGCATTGATCACCAATTTTCAGTAACGCTGTATTTGTTGTTATTCACACAAAATACAGCTCTAAATGAATGCATCTCAAACCCATGTCGGAATGGCGCCACCTGTCACGATGAAGATGGATACTACTTTTGCGAATGCGTATTCGGTTATGATGGGATAAACTGTGAAACCGGTGAGTGGGTGTCGTATGATTTCAAGAATATATGAGGGTGGCATTTCTAGCACCCGATTCGTGTGCATTTACTGATAGTTCACGAAAACAACTGCAAAATTTTATTTTGACAAACCGTGATGCCTACGAACAAACCTCCAGTGTTTAACACGATGTACGTTCTGCAGTAGTCGAGAGCTGACGTGCAGTCGCTAATGCTTCTCGTAAATCGTTCTACCTCGTTTATCGCACGGAAACGATTATTACGACTAACATTAATTTTCCCAGTGGAATCCGCACTTTAAAATAAAAATGTTACCCGATAAAAATAAGCTTAATTCTTTCTACTACTTTTGCACATTTCCCGTTCCATCTAAAAAAACTGTTGTTATATAAATGGAAGTCGATGTACGTTTTCTCCAAATTTCATTTGCATTGTCCTAGCTGAACTATTTGGTGATGTAACGAGCCACACCAATATAGAAGCTAACAACTCTCAATATGAAAATGAAAAAAACAAAAGGTGATTGAGAGCAATAACGTTACAGCTGGTTATTTTTTGAAGTAAGACAAGGCATGGTGTTGCTGGCCATAATAAACTGCTGTATATTTTAAAGTACCTGCCCCGAATGTTTTAGTGCTGTTCTTGAGAAGGTGGAGCAGTGGTGTGGTTGGCTGTAGCACCACGGGACATCAGGGAGTTGTTTCGGGCTACGTCCACAAAATGCCCCCCCCGTCCCGATGTGCTATCTACTAGTACCGCATATTAGTACTTTCGATTTCATGTGTTCCACGTGACTCTTGCACTCAACGATTCTTCCGTTCCAGATATTACACCTAACTATAACTTCAGCAATATACTAGAGATCAAACCACAGCATTTGGACGGAGTTGCCATAGGTAAGTGCTGTACTACAAACTGTATACACGTAAACATGCCAGAAATTCAATTTAAAGTGCGGCAGTCGTCGCGCTGCGCATGTGCGACATTTTTGTTGATGAACATTGGTTTTCCCACACTCCAATGCGCCATGAGGTTTTACCTGGATGCGACTTGCACTTATTACCGCCGGTGACTTCGATACTTTTCAACCACCTACAAAACACCTATGATCTGCGCAACTGTCAAAGTCGCCATCTTTGTTTATTTGAGACCATATACTCGTGCATGCGTGGCGCGACGACTACCGCCCTTTAAATATAGTGTACACACGGTGTTATTTCAGCTACATATTCCCGTTGATGAATGATCTAGCTGATTGAGCTAACGAATATTTAGTTAATTCACGATATATCTAATTTAGCTACCGTATATTTATATTTATTCATGATACAGGTTTGTGATTATTTTGTGTAGGTGCGGAAAGTGTTCTGTCTAACCCATACTACCAGCTAGCCGACGTGTACAGGAACCTGGCTGTGGATACACAATATACCGTACATGGGAGGGGATATATACCAGCGCTCGGGCGTTCCTCGATTGGAACATATCCGAATATCAACTCTAGATACACGTACTTTGATACCGATATCACTCACTGTGTGAATAGTCCAAGTACCTGTCATGATGGGTTTACGGTGTCACTTTGGCTCTACCTACAGGAGTCGGGTAAAGATAATCAAACGAATGTGCTCGTCTACGCAGGAGGAGAGACAAATAACAGAATGGCGATGCAGATTGACGATTCTTATCAAATGCAGTTTCTTGGTAAATTATTCGATTGTCATTCTATTCGTATTAACGGAGGAGCTAAATCATGCCGCGTATTTGGATGAGCAATTTAAAGGAACAGCGTTATTTTCAAACCACGTCACTACGCGCTACGTCATGTGATTAATTACGTCACTACGAGCTACGTCATGTGATTAATTG